ATTATCATTAGGAAGGGAAACGAGCCTTGTGAATCGTAATTGTCTTCATTTTGCAGACAAGGGAGGCTGAGGCTCAGAGAGATGCAGCAGCTGAAGGGACAGTGATCAGTGGGACAGAACCAGACTTGGAGGCCCAGCAGAGAGAGTGGGTCTCACAGGAGAGAACTCACCTCAGTCTGAAGAGCAGGTGACCTGTGGGCCCAGAGCCTCAGGGGCTGTGGAGGGAAAATTCAGGACTGACTAGGAGCCAGTTTCAGTGCTACGAACCTTGCTGTGTGCTCTAGCATAATTTCAGAAGTTTCCTGAATTGCAATTTCTTGTCCTGGAACTATGCACATTTCAAGATCAACGTAAACTTTGAACGTAAACCATACTCCCTACTCCAGCACCTCCTTCATGTTAGATCCTAGGGTAGAAAAAGTGCTGCATAGCTAATGTTCCTTTCCACCGTCCCTCAGTCCATCCCTCCATCCCTCACTGCTTCTGATCTACTTTTGTCCATCCTTCCGTCGTCCGTCCATCTGCCAACTATAGCACGAGCACTGCCGAGTACTAGCACTGTCCTGAAAGTACTTTTCTTCCCTGAGTGTTATTTTTCCTACCAGACAGCGCAGTCATCCCTGGCATCAGGGGTGGGTTAATTCTGCGACCCCCCTCACATACAAAATCCTCAGGCGCCTATACCCCTCTTATAAAACGGCATAGTATTTGCATATAACCTATGCGACTTTTCAGGACACTTTAAATAACTCTAAATTGCTTCTGATACCTGGCACAATGCAAATGCTATATAAGTGTTATGATCAAAACATATGGTGGGTGCTGAAATTTTTAAAAATTCATTACCTTAAAACATGCGTTACTATTAATCCCCCTCAGAATACTCTTTCTCACTTCTGATACACTTATCCCGTTGTTCTTGTCACTTTCTGAAGTAGTTCTGGAAGTCTTCTTCCCTGAGCACTTTTAGTTATGCTGTTCTGGCTGCCTTGATGACCTGAATCAAATAAAAATGTCACCCTTACCCTTCATGGTCACTTTGCCTTTGGGGAAGAGCCAGAGGTTGCACAGTGCCAGGTCCCGTGAATAAGCTGGATGAGAACATAGGGTTTTTCCCAGCCTGCCCTTTCCTTAGAGGGCACACCGTACAGCAACCACCCTAGCTTTTAAAATCACACCTTGTGAGGACACTCACGAAAGAGCACTTCCAGAACTGCTTCAGAAAGTGGCAAGAACGAGGGATAAACCTGCTGGAAGGGAGGAATATTTTGAGGGGTCAACGTGTCTTTCTCTGTAATAAATTTTTTTCTTTAAATATTCGTTGTCTGTTTTGATCATACCTCATAAACACTAGTTATACTGTACAGTTCAGGGAATGATGACCAAAAAAAAAAAATTTAAAGGTCTGTATGCTAAGGACGCAACTATTTTCCACTCACTTCTCTCGAATCCACGGACGTGTGCAGACAAAAAGAGCCACTGTATTCTCAATTCCAGATAGCAAGTGGTGAGTGCGGACGTGGCGCCCGGTGTGAGCGGAGCCTCAAGGGTGCCTACTTCTGGCAGAAGCTTTCCACCCGCTCGGTGCGGCACCAGCTGGGTGAAGAGACAGACGTGCACCCAGCGGTAGGATGTGGTGTGCTCTGAACTATAGCAGACACCCTTTTCACAGCTCAACCCTTTTTATAAGTCCAGTAAGTAAGCAAGGCGAGGGACACTCACTAAAGAACCAAACTAGTTTTGTTGTATTTTGTGTGGGTGCAGCGAGGAGAACACAAGGCCAGGTGCATGGTACCCAAGAGCTAAACTACACCCCTAGCTCCTGTGGTTCAGCTTTGTTTTAGTTTTGCTTCACAAACAAGGCAAACAGAGTCTAAAGGCCCGGAGGAGTCTGGGGAAGCTCCTGGGAACCTGGGGTTTTCGGGAAGGTAGTCGAGGAGAGGGCTCTGAGCCGGCGCGGGGCGACAGGTCTCGAGCGGGGCGTTCAGGGGCCGGCTCTCAGCGCAGGAAGTAAAGTTCCGCCAGGTCCGGGTGGACGCGCTCGGGGCAGCCGGGCCTCCCGCTCGGCCAACCAATCAGAACGCGGCCGGAGGCCGAGGCTTAGCGATATTTAAATTACCGTGTGGGTCGGGACCCGGCACCTGGCCCCGCGCTCAGCTCGGCCACAGCCAGTGAGTACGTTTAAGGGTCACCCCCACCCCGCCGGCTCCATCTCTGGCTCTTGGTCGGGGGCAGGGGAGGCCGCCACAGGTCTTCGCCGGCTCCTGG